AACTGTCACTATTTGCAGATGACAAGATACCACGTATACAAAACACTAAAGTCTCAACCCCAAATTGTTAGAACTAATAAATGAACTCAGCAAAGTTGCAGGAGATGAGATTAATATACATAAATCTGTTGCTTTTCTATTTCAAGTACTGAACTACCAGAAAGAGAAAGCAAGAAAACAATCCCATTTAAAATCATATCAAAAAGAATATAATACCTAGGAATAAACTTAACCTTGGAGGTGAAAGACTTATACACTGAAAACTGTAAAACATTCATGGAAATTGAAGCTGATACAAGGAAATAGAAAGATATCCCATGCTCTTAGATTAGATGAATTAATATTGTTAAAGTGGCTTCACAGAACTGAACAAATAATCCTGATATTCATATGCAAGTACAAAAGACCCGGAATTGCTGAAGCAATCTTGAGAAGAAAAAACAAAGCCAAAGGTGTTACCCTCCCAGACTGCAAATTATACTACAAAACTATAATAATCAAAATATCTTGGACCTGGCCCAAAAACAGATACATAGATCAATGGAATAGAATAATGAGCCCAGAAATAAACCCACACACTTTCGGTCAATTAATCTACTACAAAGGAGGCAAGAATATACAATGGAGAGATTCAAGTCTCTTCAACAAATGGTACTAGGAAAACTGGACATCTATGTGTAAAACAATGAGGTCAGAACATCCCTTCATTCTGTATATAAAAATAAAGACAAAATAGATTAAAGGCCTAAATATAAGGCCATAAACCATGAAATTCATAGACAAAAACATAGGCAGAACAGTCTTTGACATAAACAGTAATAATATTTTTTTTGGATCTGTCTCCTAAGGCAAAATAAAGAAAAGCAAAAATAAAGAAACACCCTTAAACTAAAATGCCCTTACATAGCAAAGGAGGCCATTGACAAAACAAAAAGACAACCTATAGAATGCAAAAAGGTACTTGCAAATAATGTGTTCAACAAAGGGTTGATATCTAAATTATTTGAACAGTTCATACAACTCAGTATCAAAAAACAGTCCAAAATTGGCAGAAGACCTGAATAGACACTTTTCTAAAGATGGCTTACAGATGGCTGGCTAACATCATATGAAAAGATGTTCAACCTCACTAACTATCAGAGAAATGTAAATCAAAACAATAATGGGATATCACCTCACACTTTTCAGAATGGCTGTCATCAACAAGGACAAATGTTTTCGAGGATGTAGATAAAAGGAAACCCTTGTACTCTGCTGAGAATGTAAATTGGTACAGCCATTGTGGAAAACAGTATGGAGGCTCTTCAAAAAAACTGAAAATAGAATTGCTATAGGATTCAGCAGTTCTACTCCTGGATATACATTCAGAAAAAAAACAAAAACACTAATTCAAAAAGATTCATGTACCCAGTGTTCATAGTGTCATTATTTGTAACAGTCAAGATATGGAAGCAACCCAAATGTCCATGAAGAGACGAATGGATAAAGATATGGTGCGTATATACACACACACAGGATGGAGTATTACTCAGACGTAAAGAAGAATGAACTTCTGCCATCTGCAGCAACATGAATGAACCTTCAGAATATTATGCTTAGTGATATATGTCAGCAAAAGATAAATATTGTATAATATCACTTATACATGGAACCAAGAAATTAAAACAAATGAATGGAAATACAAAAGCAGAAATAGACTCAAAGATAACAGAAAATAAAGTAGTGGTTACCAGCGGGGAGAGAGAGGTGGGGAGGCACACATTACAGCTATGGGATTAAGCGATACAAATTACTATGGATAAAACAGATAAGAAACAAGGATATATTATACAGCACAGGGGATTATAATTAATATAGTAGCTTTTAATGGGATATAATATAGAAAAATATTCAATCATTGTGTTGTACACCTAAAGCAGATATAATACTGGGTTGGCCACAAAGTTCATTTGGATTTTTCTGTAACATGTTAAATGGAATTCAATTTAAATTCAACTATACTTCAATTTAAAAAAATAGGTATTTAAAGAAAAAGCTTTTAACCTAGAATATTATATCTAGCAAAAATATCCTTCAAAAATGAAAGTGAAATAAAAATTTTTAAACTCTTAAGAATTTATTGCCAGCAGAACTGTACTACAAAAACAAAAATGCTGACAGAAATTTTTCAGCCCAAAGTGAAATGATCCAAGAAAGTGGCTTGGACCTTTACCAAGGAGTAAAGAACATCAGAAATCATTTATATAAATAAATATTAAGAAAATCTAGTTCATGATCACTTTAAAATGCTATTGGGTTAGCAGTTCAAGAAGCAGTCTCTCATAGCCAGTCACTCTAATATTTATAAGGAAACAAAAATGTAGACTAATAGTTTTAAAATCAAAGACTGACATCAGCTGTCAGGATCCCTAAGAAATTCCAAATTAAGTCAAATTGGGGGAAGAGTGGTCATTAAATGTGAATTTTCTGTAATTTACCTTGGCAAGTGGTGAAGAGGCCACATCTTGAAACAGACTAAAAGGAATTTCTTACCTCTATCACTATTTGGATGCTTATTCACTATTTGGACCCTATTCACGCTAGGGTCTGTATCTGTCAGAAAAATAGGAAGACAAATACAATAATAAAGTGTCAACAGTACAATAAAATGGGACCATTATTCAGAAGATAACAAAAGTATTTAAATCTGACAATGATCTATCTATAAGAGGAATCAGAATACTATTTTAATTTAGGTACCTAGTATGAATCTTATTCTACAAACTCAGGTATGCCACAAAAGCCTTATGTATAGATCAAATTAAAATCTACCTTGAACCCCTATTTAGCTAGGCTTTTAGGAAATGAAATTTTCTTCTTTAATAGAACCCCTGTTTTCTTAGGGTAGAACCAGAACACAGGAGACTTCTGTGATGTCCTCAAAACAGATGAAAGGCTTCTGACCTTCAGTCTCTTGTGATCTCTGCTGACTCTCTTTTATGCCCAGAGTTGTTCTTTGACATCCAGAGGTGCTCTGATTCCTTGCCACTTGTGGGCTGCAAGTTTCTTATTGATGTAAAATAAAACCTTAGTTCCTAAGAGCAAGCCTCCCCACTTATTCCTTATAACCGTTTTCCTCTGGAACCTTTCTGTTTCATTAGGCACCTCAACTGAGTGGCATATGGTTCCCACCCAACTCTTAAGGATAACAGATTCTGTCTTCTCCCAGGTTTAAGGGAGTCTTTCCTGTCTGTCTTACCCTTTTTCTTTTGCTAAGATATACCACTTTCTTCTCTCCTGGCTCTTATCATAGGTGCTTATTAAACTCAGAGCTAACCTTGATTTTGGAGTACTTCTGTTTTCAGTTCTATAAAAATGCCTGAGATTAAGAATCACTAAGGAAAGAGAAGTCCTGGATTCTTGCCTAGAGCAGGAGATAGGGGAACTACAAGATTACCAAATCAATTTCAATGAGTTAACCTGATGCACTTAAAAATGTGTTCCTTTCGAGTAATTGTGTGCTGTATGTTCAAACAACAGAACACTGCACGGCAATGAGAATGGGCAAGCTAAAACCACCTACAGTAATATTGATGTCTCACAAACATAAAGCTAAGTGAAAGCAGCCATGTACAAAAATAGCACATACTATGGTTACATTTATGAGAAGTACTCAAATAACAAAACTGTTCTGTTTTGTTAGAAGTCAAATAGTGGGAACTAGTGCCTGAAATGAACACGGGGACACCTGACAAGGTGGTTTTCTGTGAAATCTGGGTGTGAGTCACATGGGTATGTTCAATTTATAAAAAGTTTTCAAACTGTACTTTTAAGCATTGTACAATTTATGTATCTTGCATGTCAATTAGAAGTTTAAAAATATGCCAAAAAAAGTTAAAAAACAGTACTATATGTTTAAAGGGGTGATTTTCCTTAATTGCTTTGAAAAAAGTTTAAAGGTCTGAAGAAAACTCACCCATTTTTTTCCAACATAGATTTTTGCTAAATAAATGCACTATTTGACATTAATGAACCTAGAAAATCTTCTGTTTATGAAAGAAGGCATAAAAAATTGTAAGCATTATGAAAGATGAAAATTGGTCAGTGGCAAAAGAGATATAACGCACTTTCTGATGACCAATTCTGGGAGATTGCTTATGGGGAAAATTGCTAAGCAACAAATAAACAAATTACAAATGTTTGTTAAGTGTATTTTTCTGGAAGAAGAAAACTAGTGTTTCCAACTTCTTTGAGAAGGTTAGAAATACGATTTTAAGAGCTAATGAGTAACAAGACCATATAGAAATAAACTTTATTTTTAACTTTAAGAATTAAATGCAGCAGTGACTTCAGCAGGAAAATTAATAGTTATTTGTTGTAAATGAATTGATCTTAGATGATTATAGTAATTAAAAGTAAATTTTGTACTAATTCATTGGCTAAATTTTAGTCCTGCCATATGTATAGAGAAATAAATGTTTCTTTTGCTGACAATAAGCTGGTTTCTAAGCCAAGATATTTCCATCAATATGCCTAATTTCTCCTTAATCTCTTCAATCTCAAAAGAAACATATTTTTTATTTGCATGGTGCTGAAAACTACAAAAACACTCTGAGATAATTACCCCAGTTTCACAGATGTGGATGTTGAAGCTTAGCGATGTTAGGTGATTTGCCCATAATAATACATCTTGCATATATTTTTGAAACCAGGTGTTTGAATTCCCAATCAATTACCTTTTCCACTCTCAGTATACCACTTGTAAAAGAGACATGAAGTAAAGAAGTGGGTCTGTCTGGGATCCATCCAGGAGGTTTTAATAAAACTATGCTTGACTGTGTCATTCTTCCTAATAGGCATTTTCACTTCAGGGTTCTTTAGGACACAGTTATGCCAAAGTTTCAGTCATGTGGACCCACATCAGTAACAGGCTGTTGGTATTCCATCTGAATTGACAATCTTAATTTGTTAAAATAAGTATTTTGCATAGTTTAATTTTGTCTCCCATTTTCTTATTGCAGTTCTCCAGAACAGAAGGACAAATGGCTCTCTCTCCTTCAAAGGTAATTTTTTTTAGTATATATTTTTTTATTCTGTAAGGTATAATTACACCTTAATGAATTAAATGAATTAGTTTTGTCTGCAAGAGTGTGCCCCAAACTATCCGCCTTCACCTTAATAGAAATTGTTCATTTGTCCTCAAAATAAGCTGTTTAAACTGTATATTAGCTATTGCTTACTGTAAGTAATGTTCTCTGATTACATGTATTTCTTTCTTACTAGGAAGGAGAATGTTGAGGTCTGGTTAGATCATTCTAGACAGAAATTAATAATCTTTCCCATCTCTTTCTGTGTTCCCAGCCTACCATTTGGAGCTAACAGTTTCCTCAAAGCATGTATTGTTTCCATTTCCATACATGGAAGTTTTCTGCTGAGCCCCTCAAAATTTAATTATTATCCCAACCTTTGAACGTATGGATTAAAATGATCAATCGAGGCTCATCTCTTATTCCCATAGTCATTCCGCCTTCCTCTCTGCTCTCCCTTCCCAAGCGTGGAGACAACCAAAGTGTGCAGCTCAATGAGAAGTGAAAGGCCATTGTTTTGGTTTGGTCTAGTAAAGTAGTATATATGCTCCTGTACTTATCACTGAGATAAGTGCTGAGTGAACAGTCCAGAAAAGGTAGGGAAGTGTTGAGGAGGAAGCATCACCAAGAGATGCCTTAGCCAGACTGTGCTTCCCAAACCTCTTTGGAAATGATCTCCTCTGTTCTTCTTTGTGCCTATGCCTAATGTCCTGAGAAAAAATTTTTTTAATTCTCTTCCAACCCATAATGTAATCTGACTTTGCTGAGTCTTTCCATCTGTCTTTTTTAAAATAGCACATAAATATATTGCAAATATTAGCAAAATAGAATGCTTTAAAAATAAGCCATTAGCAACATACATCTGACTCAGTGTTGTTTTGGGCTGTTGTTGCGTTTGATTAGATACATCAATCTAGAGAAAGAAAAGGACTACCCGAAGAGCATTCCCCTCAAAGTCTTCGCCAAGGACATTGGGAATTGTGCCTATGTAAGTGTTTCCAAGCCAGAAAATTAACTCTTAAGTCCCTGCGTAAGGCAGAACACCTGGATAGAGAGAGACAGGTAGGCAGACAGACAGGCTGGGTATGTGCTATGGAAGGTAGGCATTTAGAAAAATACATTGTGAGAAAGTATATTTTCCTGGGTATCTGTGTATGTTTGTACATATGAGAAGTAACCCTAGAGAAAATGATTCGAGCGAAATTTATATTAACTCAGTATTTAACATTTACACTTGGTAAGATTATTGCCTGTCAGATATCTCTGTCCTCCTTCTGGCATTATTGCTTCTCTGGATCTTTTCAGTAGCAGCCACAGAGGCTTGTAGTAAAGACATTTCCACAAGGAGATGTTTCCTATTAGTATTAAGCAATTTTTCCAACCTGTCACTTCTTAAGTTGAGAGTGAGTTTTGGAAAGTTCTTCATTCTTTGAGTTTTTAGGTATTGAATTCCTCAGGTTAATAAATGGATGAGCCAAGAGAGACAACATTTTTAATGAATCAGCACAGTTTTTATCATTTTGGTCAAAATAAAAATTAAGTTTGTTTAGCCCTAGGTGTTATGTGCAGTTGTATGACTGAAATATAGTCCAAGATGTTATCAATGATGCACAAAATAGAAATGAGCATTTTTATGATACTGTCGATTGTCACACTTCTCAGCAGCCCTGTTTTATCACTTGTACCCTGCTTAAGTTCGTGATGATATGACACAGTCTTTTGCTCTCTGAAGTTGCTTCGTGGCAAGAGTCTCCTTACAGGGAGCCCTGCTTCCAGAGTGATTTCCCCCAAATAGGGAGTGCATGTATGAGAAGCATTTGTTATCCTTGGCCTTTAGTTACGCACAACTTGTTAGTGAATTCTGCTAATGTGGGAAAAAATAGCCACATGCTCAGTTAAGTCGCTATTTTTTGTTTACTGGCCAAAGAACACATATCTGCTAAAAATTCATTTGTTTTTTCTACCAGAGATGCATGCAAGAAAAAAAAAAAGTCCTGTAATTACCATTTTGAGCATATATACCTAATATTAAGAAAAATCATTATTTTAGAAACCAGACACTTTGGGAGTGATTATTAGTATTATAGGATAGATGTTTCTGGTGGAGGACAAACACTGAGCTTCCCCTGTTCATTTCTGATACTTTTGCTTAATCCTTAATCCTTGAAACTATAAGGAACGCAGTTTGAAATAATTTTAGGATACGATATGATATATATGAATGAATTTCAAAGCAATTTATTATTGTATTTATAGAGAATAAATACAATGATAGATAAGTGATGAGTTATCAGTGGATTTCACTTAGCTTTACTTTTAGATCATTCTGTTTCCATTTATTTTACTTATTTGTGCCATTTAAGCCTTATCAGGGACACAGCACTAATTGCCTATTTATCTGATAATTAGAATATGTAAAGTCTACCTGTGTGCAAAGTAAATACTTCTTTAATGTTTATAATGGAGTGTAGTTGAGTGATTTAACAGTGTTGTGCTAGTTTCAAGCGTACAGCAAAGTGATTCAGTTTACATACAGATGTATCTATCCTTTCTCAAACTCGTTTCCCTCTTAGTTTATTAGAGAGTATTGAACAGAGTCCCTTGTGCTATATAGTAGGTCCTTGTTGGTTATCTGTTTTAAATATAGCAGTGTGTATGTGTCATCCCAAACTCCCAATATTTATTTCTTTTTTAATAGCATAGCATTGTCTGATTTTTAAGTAATGTCTTATAATTCAGTGAACTCTATAGGTAATCTCATTAATTCTGTTTCTCTTGTTGTGAACTATTTCTTTTTAAGCAGTAATCTCTCAGTGTAGTTGAGCATTTAACACAGGGATATCATAGATACTGTATTCAGTAGCAGACTTGGTAACAGCATTGAGTTTTCTAAAATGTTCGGTTTATTTGCCAGACTCTTTGGTTTAAAGGCCTCTTCAGATTTCAGCAGTGAAAATCTCAGCAGCCACAGTGCCTGACATACAGAAAGTGCTCAATAAATAGTGTTGTTTTATTCCAAACTTTAAATGTCTTTTGTAACCAGTTCTTATTCTGATTTTACCTAAACTGACTTTTTACCATACAAAGAAATGAAAACCCACACTGTGAAACAGTGCTCAGAAAAGAGTAGAAAATAGTCTAAAGTTCTCCCTTGTTTATTGCATGTTGCTCTATGGAAATAGTCATAGACACGATGCAGAGGACCAGCCTCTCTGACTTTTTTGTTTGGTTTCAAGAGTGGTCCATGTAATCTCTCTGAACTGTATTTATTCTTTTTCTTTCTGGCTGAAGGTTTCATATTTTGAGTCATATTTTAAGAGGAAGAGATGTTTTATTAAAAAGAATAATATAAAAATTGAATGAAAATAAATTATAATCAAGGATTTGTGTTCTGCCTAAGTGGTACTTTGTCAACACTTGAAATCAAGATTTGCCTGTGGATAATCATTTGACAATAATTATTTGTTCCCTCAGTTTAAAATCCTTTATTTATATCTGTATTTCTTTTTTTCTCCACAGTCTAAAACTATAACAGTAACGAATTCAGATACAGCAAATGAAGTTATCAACATGTCACTACCAATGCTAGGGATAACTGTAAGTTTCTCTGCTAGATATTCTTAATTAAAAACAAACTTGGATGCTTTGTGCTTAGCCACTCGGTTGTGTCCGACTCTTTGCAACACCGTGGACTGTAGACCGCCAGGCTCATCTGTCCGTGGGGATTCTCCAGGCAAGAATACTGGAGTGGGCTGCCATGCCCTCCTCCAGGGGATCTTCCCAACCCAGGGATTGAACCCAGGTCTCACTCACTGCAGGTGATTCTTTACCATCTGAGCCACCAGGGAAGCCCTTTATCTGATACTTTAGATTATTAAAAATACTATCCCTTCCATCATAAGACAGCTGATTCTCAGAGGTACAAAAGTCATATTTTGTTCCCAAAAATATGGAAAATAATGACAACAGTTTTTTATTCTTTTTGAGAGTTTTGTTTTCTTTTGAATTGAACTGTAGTTGACTTACAATATTGTATTAGTTTCAAGTGTACAAAAGTGATTTGATGTTTTTATGGATTATACTCCATATCAGTTCAGTTCAGTTCAGTCGCTCAGTCGTGTCCGACTCTTTGCGACCCCATGAATCGCAGCATGCCAGGCCTCGCTGTCCATCACCAGCTCCCAGAGTTTACTCAAACTCATGTCCATTGAGTCAGTGATGCCATCCAACCATCTCATCCTCTGGCATCCCTTTCTCCTCCCGCCCTCAATCTTTCCCAGCATCAGCATCTTTTCAAATGAGTGAGTTCTTCGCATGAGGTGGCCAAAGTATTGGAGTTTCAGCTTCAGCAGCACTCCTTCCAGTGAACACCCAGAACTGATTTCCTTTAGGATGGACTGGTTGGATCTCCTTGCAGTCCAAGGGACTCTCAAGAGTCTTCCCCAACACCACCGTTCAAAAGCATTGATTCTTCAACATACAGTTACTGTAAAATATTAGCTATATTCCCTGTGCTATACATTGCATCCATGTATCTTAGTTTATTCATACCTAGTAGTTTTACACCTCATAATCCCCTTCACCTACCTTGCCCTTCCCCTAACCTACTAATTGGTAACAGTAGTTTGTTCTTGCTATGTCTGTTCTTCTTTTGCTGTATCTTTTCATTTGGGATGGGTTTTTTGGTTTTTGTTTTTTTTTTTGGATTTTACATATGAATGAGTGCATGCCGTATTTGTCCTTCTCTGTCTTAACTTATTTCAGTAAGCACAATACCCTCCAGATCTGTCCATGCTGTGTTGCAAATGACAAAATTTTCATTTTTATTTATGGCTGAGTAGCATTCCATTATTTATACACACATATACCACATATTCTTCATCCATTTATCTATTGATTGACATTTGGATTGCTTCAATATCTAGGCTATTATAAGCAATGCCACTGTGAACATTGGGGTGTATATATCTTTTCAAATTAGTGTTTTTGTTTTCTTTGAATATATACACGGGAGTGGGATGACTGAATCTCATGGTAGTTGTAGTTTTTTGAGGAACCTCCATACTGTTTTCCACCAGGGCTGCACCAGTTTACATTTTCACCAGCAATGTACAGAGATTCTTTTTTCTCTGCATCTTTGAACACTTTTGTTATTTGTGGTTGTTTTGATGATAGCCTTTTTTTTGTTTTGTTTTTGCATTTGAATGCCCAGTTATTCCATAACAGTTGTTAGTATTTATTTCTTTAGCTGCATTGGGTCTTAGCTGTGACATAGGGGCTCTCTAGAGTCGCACAGGCTCAGAGCGTGCAGGCTTCAGTAGTTGCTGTGCATAGGCTACTTTCTTTGTGGCAGGTGGAATCTTAGTTTCCTGACCAGGGATCGAACCCACACCTCCTGTATTTGCAAGCCGGATTCTTAATCAGTGGCCACCAGGGAAGTCCTGATAACCTTTCTTAAAGGTGTGAGGTAATATCTCATTGTTTTGATTTGCATTTCTCTGATAATTCGTGATGTTGGTCATCTTTTCTTGTGCCTGTTAGCTAGCCACCTGCAAGTCATCTTTGGAAAAATGTCTGTTCAGGACTTCTGCCCATTTGAGAGTTGGATTGGTTTTCTGATATTGATTTGTATGAGCTGTGTAAATATGGATTTAAATCCCTTATTGGTCATATCATTTCCACATATCTTCTCCCATTCTATAGGTTATCTTTTTGTTTTGTCACTGGTTTCCTTTGCTATGCCAAAGATTCTACTAATTTATTGAGATCTTATTTCTTTATTTTTGTTTTTATTCATTTTGCCTTAGGAGATAGATCCAGAAAAAACATTGTTATGATTTTAAAAGTGTTCTGCTTATGTTCTCTTCTAGGAGTTTTTGTTTTCCAGTTCTTAACCTTTAGGCCTTCAATCCATTTTGAATTTATTTTTGTACATGTTAGGGAAAATATTCTTATTTCATTTTTCACATGTAGCTGTCTTTGTTTTCCCAATACCACTTATTGAAGAGACTTCATTTTCCCCATTGTATATTCTTTCATTCTTTGTTGTAGACTAATTGACCATGTGCATGTGAGTTTATTTCTGGGTCCTCTATTCTGTTGCATTAATCTTTGTGTGTATTTTTGTACAGGTATCATAACAGTTTTGATTACTATAGCTTTTTAGTATCATTTGAAGCCAAGGAGCACCTTTTTTTTCCCAAGATTGCTTTGGCTATCTGAGGTCTTTTGTGGCTCCATACAAATTTTACGATTATTTACTCTAGTTCTGTGAAAAAATGTGTATATTTTGATAGCGTGTGCATGCATGCATGCTAAGTCGCTTTAGTCGTGTCTGACTCTTTGTGACCTTATGGACCATAGCCCTCCAGGCTCCTCTGTCCATGGGATTCTCCAGGCAACAATACTGGAGTGGGTTGCCACACCCTCCTCTAGGGAATCTTCCCAACCCAGGGATCAGACCTGCATCTCTCATGTTTCCTGCATTGGCAGGTGGGTTTCTTACCACTAGTGTCACCTGGGAAGCCCATATTTTGATAGGGATTACATTTAAGATGTCAGTTGCTTTGGGTAGTATGGACATTTTAGCAATATTAGTTCTTCCATTCAGTAAACTAGAGTTATTTTGTCATTTATTTATGTCATCTTCAGTTTCTTCTATTGATATTATAATAGTTTTCAGTATATAGGTCTTTCACCTGGAACAGTAAAGTTTTAATATTAGCTTAATATTGAGCGCTCTTCTTCCATTCCCATTTTATAACTTGTGTTAGCTAAAAAGCATAATAAGTTTAGACTACAATATTAGAGTGATAACGTGCATTTTAATATTATATGCTATACATATGCAGTTAGGGCTTTTTGATATAAAATTCTTAATAGAAAGGTTCAACCTCTTTCCCCTCTTTTCACTTCTCACTATGTAACTGTTATTTTCCTCTTTTCACTTCTCACTATGTAACTGTTATTTTCCTATCTCCTCTCCTGGTTCTTCCTTACCCGATTATTCACTTATTATACCAAGACTCAATCAGTGTTAGAATGATGGATTCTGAAGGATTTTCTCTACAATAGAATTTTTACATAAAGAACATATAGTTAGTAACCATATTCAGTGGCTGCAGGTCCAAAAAATGAGGTTGATACTACCTCCAAATGAACTGGTAAATTTAAAAATAAGCTTTGCATTAGACCATGGATTTTAAAGGATTTTAGTATGCACACCACATTTTCCCTTGTTTTGCTTTTAGCTTCTGCTTCTTTCTGTTTCATGGGGCAATGGTGAGTTTTTGAAATTTTATTTATAGAGAAGATTGGAATGTTTGAGGATGAGGTAGGGAAAGAGAGTTGGAAAGTTCTCATGTTCTCCCTACCAGTATATAAAAACCACATAGTGGGTATTTGTATTAAAGGAAATGATTCTCAGAAGGATGGAACTAAAGGAAGCACTTGAACAACATCATTTCTTGAGTGAGATTCTCCATAGGTATAAAAATGTAGTGTTACTAAGATGTAGCATGTATTAAAGACATGCCATAGTCTTAACTGTTTCTGTTTGCTTTTACACATTACAATTATAAGCCCTTAAAAACTCAGGACAACCAAAATTGAGAATAATAAGTCAGATTTATTTTAGTTAAATTTAATAATATATTTAAGATACAATTAAATATATATGCACTGGATAAAGCAGACACCTCTGCATTGATTTCTTATATAAGCTTATATTATACATTAGAAGAGAATGAATAGTTTAAAGGGAAAGGAGAGAGATTAATTAATTAATGACATTTGTTTTCTTTTGTTTCCATTTATTTTTATTAGTTGTAGGCTAATTACTTTACAATATTGTAGTGGTTTTTGCCATACATTGACATGAATCAGCCATGGATTTACATGTATTCCCCATCCCGATCCCCCCTCCCACCTCCCTCTCCACCCGATTCCTCTGGGTCTTCCCAGTGCACCAGGTCCTAGCACTTGTCTCATGCATCCAACCTGGGCTGGTGATCTGTTTCACCCTAGATAATATATATATTTCGATGCTGTTCTCTCGAAACATCCCACCCTCACCTTCTCCCACAGAGTCCAAAAGTCTTCTGTACATCTGTGTCTCTTTTTCTGTTTTGCATATAGGGTTATCATTACCATCTTTCTAAATTCCATATATATGCGTTAGTATGCTGTAATGTTCTTTATCTTTCTGGCTTACTTCACTCTGTATAATGGGCTCCAGTTTCATCCATCTCATTAGAACTGATTCAAATGAATTCTTTTTAATGGCTGAGTAATATTCTGGATAAAGTGATCAGTCTCATCGTACCAAAAGTATTTCTGTTCAGTATAATTAGGAATTCAGGCTGTTTGGTTGTTAGGTTGTAAGGTTGTACGGTTAGGTTGTAGATTGTAAAGTGTTTTCAAACACTACAAAAAAAGAAAGGATTTTTACTAAATTGCTCTTCCTGTTTGCAATAAAGTTTTTTGACTAGGAGACAGTGAAGGACATGATGGAGTAGGGGAGGGCAGTGGGAGATGTAATCTCTTTGCCAGGACCCTCCATTATAAGGTCAGGGTCATGATTTTTAATTAGAAGATAAAGGTAAGAATATTAAATATTGCCCATCTGTTCTAGTTTCATTTAAAACATTTTCACTTTATCCTCTTCTAAAGGATACAGCAAAGTCTGTATAATTTAATATTGTTTCTTTCAAGTGGGATTTTAAATATTGCTGGGTTGTAATTCTACTAGTGAACAGTTTCATTGTTCCCCATAAGTGGGCCTATTCTCTAGCCAGAGTTCTTGTCCTTTCTGTCCCCAGGACTGGACTCGCCCAAAGTAAAGCCAGTGTAGGCTGTGCCAGCTACCTGTCTCTCTCCTCAGAGCCCCATGGTCATTCTTCTCCTTCCACTCAGAAGCAGCTAAACTAATAGCCTTTGAGATTTTACTTTTTCATCACAGACACAGCAAGGTTGTAGCTTTCTGGATATAAAGCTGTCTTTGCAGGGGCATGTTGTAGATTAAATCCAATATTCTTTGAGAAGTTCAGAGAAGCAGAAGTTAGAACTCTGAAGATCGGTTAACCTTTCAGAAAACCAAGAAGTTTCTTCTTACTTTGTGAAAGAGCATATATATGATTTCATATTCTGTGGGCTATCCATAATAGTGAGGGCCTGATTCTGTTACAATCGGTGGATCCCTCCTCATCCCTAGGTAAAAATGAGTTCTCTGTTAAGGTTTAGAGAGGGAGAGATGGGTTATAGAATCAGCACTACCATCTTCAAAAGCCATATCCACCCACTATGAAGCTTAAAAGCATTTATATTGTCCCCCCTTTTTTTTGCAAAACATAAAAATGCCCCAAAAATGTATTCTCATTCATTTACCAAATGTGAAGAATTATTGTTAATTCTTTTATCTCCAAGGGCTCTGAGAGAGAGTACCAATTATGGGTCAATTCTGGCAAAGAAGAGGCACCATACCCACTTATTGGTAAGTTTCTATGAAGATCTAAGATAGAATTGATTGTGAATTAATTATAATTCTAAATGTCTCAGCGAATTGACTATATAGTCCTAAACTTAAATACTATTAAATATTAAATCTTCTATAATATTCATGTGTTAATTTAGTAGATGCCTATCAAGAGTTTCCTATGTGCCAGACAAATGATATCTCTATTTGAGCAGCTAATGATATAGTTGGAAAGAGAAATGTGAATTTTCCTCTTTTTTTTTCTTTACAAAGAGAACTATCTTGTCAACTTTTTAAAAATTTTTTCTGAAAAAAGCAATATATGTTGTTACTCCTTTTCCATATATATTTATTTTTCATGTTTAGATTTTTAATTTCCTGTTCCCTTTCCTACTTACTATTTGCCTCTGTGGAAGACTATCTATGATCCAATCATGCCTCAGTCTGTCAGTGAGTATTTAACATCTGCCCTGCACCAGGAACTTTCTTAGGCATCATAAAGACAATGAAATTAAACCATTTAGATTCCTAAATATCCTCATTGACTAACTTGGCATTAACTACTACCTTTACTAACTACTTTGCTGTTTCTGTAGTCAAATTTTCCAGCATTTGAAGAATTATTGATAAATGATTTATCACCTCATCTTATTTAAATTGATTTCACTAAAAAATATTCTTGATAAGTGAGGTCATTCAGTGTGGTTAACAGAAAAAAAAATGATTACGTTAAAGGACAGCATCTGTGGCAGATACTGAAATGATAACAATAGTTGATGAGAGTTCTGTTAATAATTTTTAAATGCTTACTATCTGCCAGACATTGTGCAAAGCATATCATATATCTCATGTTATCCTTTCATTTAACTGTGGAGATCACTACTGTGTAATTCAGGTTTCAAACAATCTGAGTAATCTGAAATCAAACTTTTCTGTGAAATGTATGTTCTCAGACTTAAATCATTATGCACATAGCTGGGGACAAAAACCACTGCATTTCCAGTTTCTTAATGCTGACATTTTATAAAAGTCAGTAAGCAACAATTAAAGCTGGGATTAAAAACCAAGTGAGTACTGAAAATAATTGTTTTAATAAAATATATTAATTTAATTAAAACTGTTCAGATGGTAACTCTCAGGCTTAAAACAGCTTTAAGCTTCATTTCTAACTCTCACTAAAAAAACCATGGGACATGAAACATGATTGTTACTTAGCAACAGTTCTCCACTTCATATTTTAAGATGCCTTTCAAACTTCAATTGTATATTAGTTATTGGCCTTGTTGATAAATTGACTTGGCTTTAGTGCTGTCATAGAAGTCCTTTTTTTTTTTTTGCCTTAATCTCTGAAAGTTGCTGTGGTACTTGATGTTAACGGAACATTGACAATGTATGCCTATGCCAGATGGAAAGGAAAGAGTTCACTGAGGTTCATTCAGTGAGAAATAAGAGAATTTACTCTTTTTAAAAAGGAAACTAGATCTACAGCACAATGGTACTTGAGGAATAATTGAGAAAATGCAGCTGCTTAAAAGTACTAAAGAACAAAAAAATCGTGTTGCAGTCAGATGCAGAGTCGACATAGAGTTTAGTTTTTCTAGTTTGAAAATTACTTTTTAAATCTTGTCTCTGTGTTTCTAATACCCTGCAGTCTTCCTTCTAATTCTTGCCCTTGAATAACGACCTCAGAGTGCAGTAGTAGGAAGAAAACATAAATCAGACAAACCAGTCCTTTCCCTATTGAGTGACTAATTATATAACTAATAAAAAGTATAAAATGTCTTTTTTAGAAAGATATCTTGTGTTGAATAACAGTAATAATAGTGATGCCTGAAATATATAGTTTTTGCCCTTATTATTTAAAAAATATGAATTCTAAGGTTTACTTATTTGGTCCTTATAATGCTATGTGATAGGTAGGGTAAATATCTTAAGTCATGGGTTTAAGGCTGAGAGTGGTCACGGATTGACTGAAAATTTACAGAATACAGTTAATGTCAAAGGAGAAACTAGAGTGCCTTTAAATATGTTCGAAGATGTGAGCATAGTCAACATTATGCAACTCACAGACTAATCTGTGCATTCCCAAACAAGGTACTCTTTAAAGACATTTTTTTTCTCTTTGCTTTCTTCCCTCCGCACTCCAAAAATAAACGACTCTGGCTGGGCCACCTGCATCATGCACTGGTATCCAGCTGTGAGAGTGTGCGTGGTGATCATTAAGTCAACAAAAGGATTCTTTATACCAAAAGTCCCAGGAGCAAATTGCAGTACATTCCAGTATGTAGCACACACATTTACAGTGTCAGTCTGCCTAAAGTCTACATTTAGATTTTTTTTTTCTCTCTGTAGGGCATGAATATCCCTATGGAATTAAAATGAGCCATCTTCGAGACACTGCACTCCTGACACAGGGATCAAAGGACTCCCCCACCCCTTCCAACTTCCAAGAGCCCTTCCTCATGGAGCAGCTGCCCCGAGAGATGCAGTGTCAGTTCATCCTGAAGCCCAGCCGCCTGGCGGTGACCCAGCAGCTGAGTGGTGAGTTTTCTCCTCCCTCATAGAGCCTTTTTTAGCAAAACTTTTCATTCCTAAAAGCAAAAAAAGTTCTTTGCCTTTCAGCCAGATGAAATATTTTTTCTTTTAAATTTGCAAAGTGTTTTGAAGGAAAGATATAGTTTTAGATGATAGTTTTAGAAATTAGTGGTGGGACTGAATGACTTTAATCAGCAGTTAATAACTGCAGTAGAGTCTGTTCCTTCTTTCTTCGCTATTCTTTCCCCTTTAACCTTATGTCCACTTCAGAGTCAAAGGCACCAGTCTATGCTGCAGGTGCTTCAATGCTTTCTTTGTACTGTAATACATTGCACTGTGTGTTCCCCCAAATAGTCACCTTATAAAAAGGAGGCTGTCAGTGATGCGTGTCAGAAGACTCTAATGCCCGACCTGGATCCTGCTACTGATAGGTGTGTAAAGATTGCAACGATTTCCACAGAAACCTCTTGGTATTCTGCTAATCCCTCTGAATGTAGCCATCCCTAATCCACCCCATAATTAAGACTCCAGAATGGTAAAAATGATATTCAACATAGGAGGACCATCATTAATTTGCTCTAACTCAAGTTTGAGCTTTACACCTCAGTCTGAAAGTAATATTGTGAAAAAAAATAGAAGAAAATATATCATGCCAAAAAGTATTGAGTGGGGTAGTGGAAAATTGGTGCTGAATTTTTGTAGCTGCTTTTGTTGGTTTGAGAAAACTGGAGAAACCTGTGAACAGTGGCCGTTGTTTTATACTCATCCCCCAACACGTGCATGTCCAACACTGTCCCTTTCTGTTGATGACCTAGCCTTAGATTTTATACTTCATTGAAGTCATTGGTCTAAAACTCCTTAATATTGCTGACATTGCGTGCAGGCAGGCTCAGTCATGTCCACCTCTTTGCGACCCCAGGGACTGTAGGCCATCAGGGTCCTCTGTCCATAGAATTTTCTAGACAAGAATATTAGAGGTGGGTTGCCATTTCCTACTCCAGCGGATCTTCCCAACCCAGGGATCCAGCCCTTGTCTCCTGTAGTGGCAGGCAGATTGTTTACCACTGCGCCACCTGGGAAGCCCTGATCTTGCTGATAGCAGCTATAAAAACTGATCTTGCATTTGCCCCAGTCCTCCTCCCTCCAGCAGTGGTAAATTGAGGTTTTGAACTCTAAGGCTCTTTACTCACATCTTTGGGCCATTTTGAAGGGGTATTATAGACATGTTACAGTTTTCTAACCTCTAAAATATGAGCTCCTTGAAGGTGGAGAGTTGGGTCTGTTTTGTTTACTGCTATATTCCCAGCACCTGGAACAGTTTCTGCATACATAAAAAAGTGTCCAATAAATATTTGTTGAATGAATTTATTAATAGGTGTGTTGTTAGTGCTTATTAAAGTTGCAAAAGGAATGTTGCCTTTATATCTAAGATGAGAATATTATTTTACTCTTCTACCTTTATTACTCATGTTTTTCAAAACTGTTTCTGTGGGTACCTTGTTAATAAAATAAAATAAAATAAGTGTATTTTAACTAATTGGACCAAAATAATCAGGAGTCAAGAATCCTGAAGGTTTTACTCATTTCTGCCAACAATTTGATTAGTTAATTGTAAGCAGCCTTTAGTTATTAATCCTCTGCTTCTCCCTGTTAAAGATAATAATAGTTGCATCTATAAAATGATTCATAATAAATGGAGTAACTATAGACCAATGGTGGCAGCTACCTGTGTAGCTAAACAGTTAATATGTGAACCAGTTTTGTATGTTTTTTTAATACAGAGGATTTTGAGAGCAACTACTCTGGAAACCACTTAGATCAGGAATCAACAGACTTTCTCTGTAAAGGACCAGGTAGTAAAATTTGCAAGTCAGCAGACAAAACTGAGAATATCATGTAGTTACTTACATAACAAGACAGAAAACAAGTTCACAAAATTTTTACAGATGATATTCAATATGTAGTAATATTTGAGTACGTGCATGCTCACTCAGTCATGTCCAATCTTTGCAACCGCATGTACTATAGCCTGCCATTCTCCTCTGTCCAGAGACTTTCCAGGCAAGAATACTGGAGCAGGTTGCCATTTCCTCCTCCAGGGGATCTTCCCGACCCAGGGATTGAACCCACGTCTTCTGCATTGGCAGGTGGATTCTTTACCACTGTCCCAACTAGGAAGCCCATAATTGAGTACAATTTTATGTAATACAGATATACTAATGAAAATAATTCTTTTGGGGAAATAACATTTCACTTAGTTGGGGTTCAAAATTAGTATTCCAGGTTGGGAAGATCCCCTGGAGAAGGGCATGGCAACCCACTCCAGTATTCTTGTCTGGACAGTATTCTTACAGGGCAGGCTACAGTCCATGGGGTCACAAAGAGTCAGACAGGACTGAGCGACTCAGCACAGCATAGCACACATCATAATTAAATGTAAAATATTCTGATGTAATGATATTTTATATATTTCATGGTCTTTGAAAATACCCTTTCACACACATAGGTACTGCCAAATACTAATGTATCATTCTACAAGTATGTAACTTTTAAAATTTTTATTGGAGTACAGTTGCTTTGCGTCATTGTATTAGTTTCTACTATACAGCAAAGTGAATCAGCTGTACATATACAAGGAGATCCAACAAGTCCATCCTAAAGGAGATCAGTCCTGGGTGTTCACTGGAAGGACTGATGTTGAAGCTGAAACTCCAATACTTTGGCCACCTGATTCGAAGAGCTTACTCATTGGAAAAGATCCTGATGTTGGGAAAGATTGAGGGCAGGAGGAGAAGGGGACAACAGAGGATGAGATGGTTGGATGGCATCACCATCTCAATGGACATGAGTTTGGGTGGACTCTGGGAGTTGGTGATGGACAGGGAGGCCTGGCATGCTGCGGTTCATGGGGTCGTAAAGAGTCGGACACGACTGAGCGACTGAACTGAACTGAACTGAACTGAATATTCCATTGATAGCTCAGCTGGAAGGAATCCATTGGTAGCTCAGCTGGTACATTCCCTGGTAGCTCAGCTGGTAAAGAATCCACCTGCAATGCAGGAGACCCCCATTCGATCCCTAGATTGGAAAGATCCCCTGGAAAAGGAATAGGCTACCTATTCCAGTATTTATGGGCTTTCCTGGTGACTCAGACAGTAAAGAATCTGCCTGCATTGGGGGAGACCTGGGCTTGATCCCTGGGTTGGGAAGGTCCCCTGGAGAAGGGCATGGCAACCCACTCCAGTATTCTTGCCTGAAGAATCTCCATGGACAGAGGAGCCTGGTGGGCTACAGTCTTGGGGGTCACAAAGAGTCGGACACGGAGTGACTAAGCACTAATCTATCCTTTTGTATATATGCACCATATCTTATTTATCCATTCCTCTCTTGGTGGACATTTAGGTTTCTTCCATGTCCTGGCTATCGTAAATAATGCTTCTGTGAACCTTGGGTGCAGGTATCTTTTTGAATTATGGTTTTCTGCAGATAGCACAGTAGTGGAATTGCTAGGTCACATGGTAGTTCTGTTTTTAGTGTTTTAAGGAACTTCCATACTGTTCTCCATGGTGACTGTATCAGTTTACATTTCCACCAACATCGCAAGAGGCTTTTCCCTTTTCTCCATGTCCTCTCCAGCATGTATTGTTTATAGATTTTGTGATGATAGCCATTCTAACCAGTGTGAGGTAACGACTCTTGTAGTTTTGATTTGCATTTCTCTAATAATTAGTGATGTTGAGTATCTTTTCATGTGTTTGTTGGCTATCTGTATGTCTTCTTTGGAGAAATGTCTATTTAGACCTTATACCCATTTTTTGACTGGGTTATTTGTTTTTTATATTGAGCTGAATGAATTGCTTATATATTTTAGAGATTAATCCCATGTCAGTTTCTTCATTTGCAAATGTTTTCTCCCATCCTAAGGGTTGTCTTTTTGTCTTGTTTATGGTTCCCTTTGCTGTTCAAATGCTTTTCAATATACCTAGGTCCCATTTGTTTATTTTTGTTTTTATTTTCATTACTGTAGGAGGTGGGTCAGAAAAGGTTTTGCTGTAATTTATTCAAAGGGTGTTCTGCCTGTTTTCCTCCAAGAGTTTTATAGTGTCTGGCCTTATATCAGATCTTTTATCCATTTTATTTTTGTGTATGGTGTTAAGCAGTGTTCTAATTTCATTCTTTTACTTGTAACTCTCTGGTTTTCCCAGCACCACTTATTGAAGAAGCTGTCTTTTATCCCTTGTATATTCTGTCCTTCTTTGTCATAGATTAGGGGACCATAGCTGTGTGGGTTTATCTCTGGGCTTTCTATCTTGTCCCGTTGGTCTATATTTCTGTTTTCTGCCAGTACCATACTGTCTTGATGGCTATAGCCATGTAGTATAGTCTGAAGTCAGCAAGCCTGATTTCTCCAGCTCCATTTTTCTTTCTCAAGACTGCTTTGGCTTTTGAGGGTCACGTTTCGTACAAACTATAAAATTTTCTGTTCTAGTTCTGTGAAAAATGCCATTGGTAATTTGATAGGGATTGCGTTGAATTTGTATATTCCTTTGGATAATACAGTCATTTTCACAACATTGATTCTTCAAACCCAAGAACATGGTGTATCTCTACATCTGTTAGTGTCATCTTTGATATCTTTCATCAGTATCTTATAGTTTTCTGCATACAGGTCTTTTGCTTCCTTTAAAGTGAGGGCCTCCCTGGTGGCTCAGAGGTGCTTCCTTAGGTTGGTTTATTCCTAGGTATTTTATTCATTCGTTGCAGTGATAAGTGGGATTGTTTCCTTAATTTCTCTTTCTGATCTTTTGTTGCTAGTATATAGAAATGCAAGAGATTTCTGTGTATTAATTTTGTATCCTGTAACTTTAATTGCTCTCATAGTTCTCTGGTGTTATCTTTAGGATTTTCTATTTATAGTATCATGTCATCTACAAACAGTGGTTGTTCTACTTCTTCTTTTCCAATTTTGATTCCTTCTCTTTCTTTTTCTTCTGTGATTGCCGTGG